ATATATATATATTTATTTATTTATTTATTTATTTATTTATGTATTTGTTTATTCAAATGTATATGTTTTTTTGTACGGTATACACGAATATGTTTCTGTGTACTTTAGGATTTCTTAACTAAACGTCGTGGGCCGCAGAAACGGATTGAACAGCCACGAATTTTTGACGATTTCTGTAACATGGACGCATGGATAATCAAGGAGCGAAGTACCGTGGTTTGTAACGGAACTTGTTTCAAGTGGCAACAAATACTAAATAATTCAGGTAAATCAATTCTTGTTGACTGCTGATGATATGTTGGTTTTGCAGAGGAATTAATTTAAAAACTGGGTTGTACAGATCATTGCTGAAAGAAGCACTTGGTGTACTTTGTGAAAATATGTGTTGCAAAGCTGTCCTAATAAAAAATTTAGGTTATTTGATTAGTCTAAGCAGTATTACGAGTAATGTCTTTGATACGGCTAGCGCAGTTCACCTGTATTCATGAAGAATACTTGAAAACGAAATAAACTGTACATAAACTGTGGTTTTTTGAAACCAAAAAAAGCTAACACAATGATATTATTTGGTTGTTTTTCTTTTGCACGATGAATATTTGAAAACGTTTTATCTATAGGAAAGAGTAGGTTATTTTTTTTGGTAGAAATAATTTGGATAACAAAAGAGAAAACTGGCGTATGATCCAAAAGTTAAGAATTATGACAATGTTCTAGCTTTGGTAAGGTTTCACAGTGCAATCGAAGAAAAAATTTTGTTGATGCTGAATTATTAGAGTGGTAAAAGCCGAAGTTTACTTTGGTTCCTTCTTTATTCCTTTTTGTTTTTGCCGGAAAGTATAAGTAGGCATGTAGAAATTATTGATATTCTAGGTTCCTATTCGTATATGACACTACGGTCTTGTTACACAACTATGTTCGATCTCAATGACCCACAGACAGTTCAGGAACCTAATACAGTTTACTGCTCTACAAGGTAGCTAACTTACATTGGTTTTTAGTATCAGGATATAAATCTTTCAGTACAGTTAGTCAATTAATTAAAAAAAAATTTTTTTTCTGTATGCGTGCGCGTTTTATTTCCTTTTTCACTTGTTGGTCTTCTATGTTTGTTTAGCGGTTAGGTGCATCAACTGTGAAGTAAATAAGTGAACGAAAAAATGTATGAACATTTGTCAAAAAAAAACTCTATATTATTACTGTTTTCATCTACGCATTGAAAATGGTGGGGAACATCAAAATACTGTCATTGTTGAACCAAGTGCTGTGTTTATTATACCTATATAAACGGGATATAGCTATGCGAGTAGTAAAAAGTGATACCAACCGATAGAGTAAGAATTTTTAATTTTTTATTTGGTAAGAAAGCTTTTATATCGCAAGGAAAAATACGATTCATACGGAAGTATGATTAGAGAAGGAAAGTGATTGGAAAGAGAAGGATAAATTATTTGTGTAACCACTGTTTCAGTGGCACTGTTTCACTTATTCACTCAAACTCGAACTCCACTGAAACGCTGTTTCTTCCTTTATCAAATGTATGATTTTTGAGTTATTGTTTGTTGTAATTAATTACTGTTGTAAATCTGAACAAATACTTCGAGAGAAAAACGGATATAAAAAGTTTTTAAAATGCATAATAGTAACTTTGAAGTGAGCAGTAATTTTTTTTGGTATTCTTATTTGTCATTTATCTATTATTTCAAAGACAAAGATAGAAATACAGGGCAATTATTGATAAATTTTTTTTAGAAAAGTAGCTGTGATAGTCGCATTGTATAATAAAGAAACTGTTTTGGTTCTCAACTTGCTGGTTAATAAAGAAAGAGATTAAACAGTTGTTGAGCAACAAAATATTTTTTTTTAATCGGTCAAAAGTTTTTGCCAAATAATGACAGAGAAGCGGTATTTTCGCGTGTATTTTAGCTATCGGAAGGTTACCCTCAAATTATGGTTTTTTTAATTAATTGAAGACATTCAGTTGTAAACTGATTGATTAGTGGTTAACAGAGCAAACGTCCTATATCCCATACTAAAAACTTATTATATGTTTGAAGCCTGGCATACCATGCAACTGCAGTTGTTGTCTGCTGGTAACAGAAAATTATGTGAGACCTCCTGGTAACGGAATGTATATATATTTTTGTAGATCGACAAATCTTGACTGTTTAACCGATGCAAATGTTATCGAGGATGCTTGCTGGTGTCATGGTGACTACTGTAATACAACAGGTCGTTCAGCATTATCAGTGTGGATGATTATCGCAATTTCAGCTCTAAGTTTAGGCCTCATATATTCCTAGCATTAAACGTTCTGCTCAGCCGATATATATGATCTACTGCTATTACTCTTCGCCTTTTTTTTTTTTTTTTGATTTTTGAAGTTTTTTGCTATCGGCCGTTTGTTTATTTGTTTGTTCATTTGTTCGTTTTGCGTTTATCTGATCTCAAAAATTTAATTATCCTGTATTAATATTCTATACTTAAAGGTATATTGTTTGTATTCTGTGTGAAAACTATTACGTAAGTGTATAAAATGTGTTGAGTGTATGTGTGTCTGTTGCATAGGACAAGATATGGACGTAAGGTCGGAAGGGAAAGGTGAGAGATAGAGGTTAGGCAAGTTGGATTGGGATAAGTTGCAATCAGTTATGATTGCTTCAACTACTCAATCACCACTAGTACAGTCTTGTTTATAAACTGAGTTATCTGGTTTGGTGTCCTCAAAATTAGTACATTACAACTAGTTAAGTTTTTTTTTTGTTTAGGTTTTTTCGGTATCTGCGTATTGTATGGCTAAAGGTGAAAAAAGAAAGATTGAAAATTCATTGAGCAACGAAATCTCTAAAAATAGTTGGCTAAAATAGAAAGCAATCAATAAAGAGATCATTGGATTTAGTTGATTTTAGTTTCTAAAATCATTTTCTGATAAACCTGTTTAATTTATTTATTAAATCTCAGCTCGAAGCATTACTTTTTACGACTGTTGTTTCTGTTGGTACAGTTTATCAGCAACAAATCGTCGTAGCAAAACTGAAGGTGAGGGAAAATGCATTGAATGATAAGCGATTTTCGACGTCGAATAAAACTTATTTAGTGGATAAAAATAGCTAAGTGAAAAAATTCAAAAAATTTTTTGTTTTTTACCAAACATCATCGGTATCATTACCAAAAGTTCAGCAAAAAAAAGGATGTAAGTCTTCAAGTCACTTTTTTTTTGCTTAGGCGAACAAAAATGCACAAACACAAACGCAGAAAAAAGTCTACAGACAGCACAGCGGATTTTTTGAAGGGAAAGTTCAATTTAAAGCGCCGGTCTGTACCATTAATAGTCCGTAAGACTATTCCTCAAAGTTTTGCTGGAGCAATCCAACAATAATGACGGCTAAAAAAATTCGCCTATTGCTGTTACTTCGTCATTTCACTCTGCACCACCAGGGAGTGTTAAAGTTTTTCCAATATCCTTACAAACAACTGTTGCTTGGGGAAACTGCAGTTCCCATCAAATAATTTCAAATTGTTGCCTCCACCTTACAGCTGATGTTTTTCTGCCAGAAAAACAAAAAAAAAAAAAAAAAAAAAAAAAAAAAAAAAGAAAAAAGTCAATAAACTGAAAAAATAAATAAATAGAATTTTCAAAACTTTTTTTTGTCGAACTTTGGTCTAAAATTTGCTACTTTAACATTCTCAGGTGTTTTCTATGATTGCTGCTGCAATTGAAAACTTCAACTGGTCGTGTTTTGAAATTTTGTGCATTGAACTTTTTTTTTGCTTTTTTTTGTTTATTGTTCCACAACATATGAATATTTGCAAAAGGCTTACTCTGGTTCAGCGCATTTCGAATAATTATTGAGTTGTCTTTTGACACATTGTCTATATATTTTTACGTTTTTGAACTATCCTTTCCTTATGCAACGTTTGATTCAGTCATAAAATTTTAACATTGTGCTTCCAGATCTGTTGCTGCAGATAAACAAAATTGAAAATACAGAATTTTTTTGGAAAAAACTTAAGTGGTGTAATCCCAGCAAACTGAGAAAGCAGTAATGTAACAACTTTCAGTGCTGAAACATGTAAACAGTATTAAATATACATGCTTGTTCTAATGAAAATCGGAAGATCAAAATCAAGAACTGAGCTAAAAACTGGTCATTAATATTGAGGATACTTATAATTAGCAAAATTTGTAGAATTTGTGCCTAATCGATACTTATCTAGTTTGTGCCATTACCGCTGAAGCAAATCAGCTATCATCATAAAAGTTTGATAGGGTACAGCAAAAATGCATAAATACCAGAGCACTTATATTTTACTGAAACATTTTATGTTTCCCAATTATGTTCTTCTCACTCTAAGTGAAAGCGGCCAAGTTACGATGGCTTTCCTGTTAAATTGAATATGAGAGGCATCAAACTTCAATGAAACTCAAAAAAGTCATACTAACTCTGCTATATTGACGTTTCTAGAATTTTCCAAAGAAAGTTTATAAAATAAATCCAAGAAATTTAAGGAGGAGTTAAAAAACGGTAGTTACGGAATTTTTGTTGGGTATATATCCAGTGCCATTCTTATACAACAGGTTTTTCCGTGTTATAACTTTTAGCAAACTTTAAGTAAATATCCATAATCAGCAATTCCTCAACTCCTAAGGAGTATAAAGATTAGAAATATTTGATATCTGCAAAAACCCATACACTTCGACAGGATCTGATTTTGTAGATTTTGCGCTCAAAGTCCTTGTAATCTCCACTGTCAAGACTATGCAACTCTGTATTTGTCTTTGAAATTTAATTTTAGTGCAAATATACATTTCAGGCCACGCGTGGACAGTACTCTCTGTTTGCGTTTATATTCTTTATTTCGTAACCAAACCCAGTGACAGTGACAATGGTAAAAAAACAAAAAGAAATGTAACTTTGCAGCAACTTTGTCAGATTCTTAACAGCTGCATAAGTGTTTATCACCTAGACGGTTTCCCTTCTACTAGCTTAGATTATAATAAACAGAATCAATGTTTATTAGTAGAAGAATGGTCTTGGGCGTTGCTTTAATCTTTACTTCTTTACCCTCATATTCTGTCGACGTTTGTTCACTTTGCTTCTTCTTTAATTTGTACAAACAAGCTCTTGAGCGATTATTTCATACTGATTATTGACGATATAAAAAGGCAAGGAAACAAAGTGGAATTATGGTTTAGCGCCGTTAATTGAAAATTTTTGGATTCAGTTGGGTGTTAGCTTCTTAATGAGAGATGATGCTAACAAAAAACTAGAAAACCTGCATTGCTTCTAAACGTAATATAACTATTACGTACCAAAAATAAATTTTAATAATGTTTAATCACTTTTAATAGTTTAGAATTTCAGAGATTTTTACCTATCACCTTTTTACGAATGTTTTTTTAGAAAATTTGTTACAATTGTGCTATTTTGATTCTCAAATATTTTTCAAATTTTGGTCAAAAAGAGTTGATTTTGTTAGTATTAGGGAAAGAATTTCAGGCTTTGCTAAAAAGTTTTATTTTAACTCTTGATAAGTAAACAGCACTTCAAAAATTTTAACCAAAAAAATGAAGTCTTATAAGTAAGTCTCATCTAACTCACTAGTTAGTCAGTTACTTCCCCTTGACGACGCCGTAAAAGTTCAAAAGCTAATTTTACCAAAAACTTTAAAACCAGTAAAGGTTTAAACCTCAAGCATAGCTCCACTTTGATCTGAGACATAAGCATTCCTTTCAATAGGCATACAGCATTTCTTTCCCTTCGATTGCCAAACTGTCTGATTAACAATTATTATATATGCCGTACAATCGTCTAATTCGTCTAAATAAACAAGTCTGCTTTTTTATCAACAGTAAAGAATCAGCCGCTATTTGTTAAAACTTATAGTTATATGATAGCCTGTTTCTCAAACTGCTGAGTAAAAGAATAAAGAGACATACCGTTCTCTAATCAGTATCAGTTGCTTATTGACCTTTCTCTCATGAACAGTTCTGGCAGAAACCCACTCTTGAGCAAGTCTGTGCCAGGTAATCAACACTTTTGCTTGAATAGCAGACGGACTTTTTGCCAAGCGCGTTGAAAAAATACCAAGTTTATATAAAGCTTCTTTCAGTTGGAACTTAGAAACTTTATAGAAGATCCGTAGGTTTCAATTAACCTACTGCTTTCCGTCTCGTACACATTAAACCTCATTTGAATCCTTTAATCATGAATATTTTTTAGTATCTCTGAACTCAAAAATAATTAAAGGCAGGACAAAGTCTTCGTGACTTCCCACTTATCTATTCAAGCTTCAAAATTCCGAATAACTTTTCTTTCTTGCGTACACTTTTACTCTACATTAAGACTGCTTCTAAATCTTCTCTGTCTTGCATTTTTTTTCTTGGTATTAAACTCTTCCATTAAAAATATTTACCACTGCATATTGGAAGAAAAGAAATGTTTGACAAATTAGAAGGAAAATATGTTGATTCGGGAACAGTTTCTCCTACAGTATACTTAATTTATGTCGAACACATCGCTGTCTTCTAACCTTACTCAAGAGCTTTCCTGTTGTTGACGCAGGCAATTAAAAAACTTTTCTAGCTGATGGCAAAGCGTAAAAAAGTTGTCATAAGTGGGAAAACTCAGATAACTTGCTGAATTAAGCAAACTTTTTCTGCGTTTTTTTTTTCAGTCATTTTTATCCAACGTAACTTTTTAATAAAACAGATAGTGCCTTATACTGAATTATCTTCAGCTGATATAAAAAGGCAAAAGTTGGAAAAAATGGCTTTGTAACACAGCTCCAAAGAAGTGCTCCATATAATAAAATTTAGACGTAGAGAAAAAACTGTGTTAAAAATCAGGGAGCCCTTATAAGGCTGCTTCTAATAAAATACTTTTTGATACAATACATTTCTTTTTAGATTAAAAACCGGAAAACTAAAATAATGCCATCATATATTCGGTTGCAACAAGTGGTAATCATAAAGTTACTGATTAACTGTACTTTATGCTGTGTATCCGACACATTCCCAAACAATACTGCCAGAAAATATAATCAGTTCCCATGTGAAAATATTGGTAAAAAAAATGCTGCTTTTTATGACATCAAATTGCTCACTTATTTTGTTCTTCATTATACTTTTTATAAAATGTGTATATTTTTCATTTCATATAAAATGGTTTTTTTTTTAGAGGAAGATATTCTTTTTCCAAATATTACAAATGTTACCAATGAAAACTCTGAAAGTCACTATCCGGTTAATATCAGTCAAATTTCATGGCTCGGTTTGTCAATAACAAATACTGGTAAAGAGGTAGTTTAGCAAGCAGTGTTTATTCGAAAAAACTATCATATATATCGATAGATTGTTCTAGAAAAGAGAAATTTCTTGCTAGTGATACTTTCAAATTCAGATTGCGAACTTATTGATGGATGTAAAAGTATATGGCTGGGAAAAAGATGAAGCCACCTGTGAATGGAAGGAAATCCCAACACACGGATTTGCGTAAAAATTTTAAAATTTGTCACTCAAGCTGTTAACTAAAAATTACAAAGTTTACGCAACTGGAAAAAAGAACCAATTTCAGATAACTAATGTCACTTTTGTTTATTTTGCAACAATGTAAAAAAACTGTTTTTTTTTCCAGAGATGATTTAGAGCTATGTGACTGGATTAGTTGTCCAATACCTGCAAATAGCACCACTGAAGCAAAAATTGAAATTGACCTCAGACATTTTGCTTTTTTCTTGGGTTCAAATGTAAGTCTACTCTTTGTTTACCTTCAGTGGCAAAATTTTGAAACACTGCTACTCTACCTGAAATCTTCAACGGTGTGGCTTGCCTCGCTCTAACCTTCAAAAACTAACATGTTTCAGGTAATAATCTTTGGAAAAAAAAGCATTAGATATTAATAAACTAAAATGTAGCGGCACTAACATGAATAACAAAGTGAAAGTCGTTACCAAAAAAAAATTTCTTTGTCATAATAACAAGTCTAACAAAATAATTCATTTTAGTTCTGTTGCATCAAAAACCATTTGCTAAAAATCTAGAATTTTAAGAACTAGAAAGAAACACTAAAACCCATCATCAATATTTGTTTGTATTTATTCTGAGTACAACGGAGAGACTCGTAAAGCCCTATCTTTTCTGACCAACGCACTTAAATCTGTCGCTTTTTAATGCGTAAAAAACTCACGATAGATGATATCGTTCCAAACAATAACCCATCCTCAAATTCTTGTAGGAACCGACTGAAAGAAGTAAATAAATTAGAAGCATACGAGCCAATACAGTGATCTGGCGAACTGTTTCTGCCTATAAATATGCACACCCGTCCCAAAAAAATTCAAAATTCAAAACCTTTAGTTTCTCTCTGTTGTGATGAAAAGTAGTATCAATGAAAAAATCTCCTCCTTACTTCTCTTGTATAAAAGACCCTTATAATGGTGAAGCTTGTATATATATATGATTGAAGACTGAAAGACTGAGTTGAGGATTGCCAGAACCGTATTACAGAAGCTTTATCAAGCGCAAATACATCTGAAGAACGGCGACAAACCAAACGACGTCAAATTAGCCAACTTCGAAGCTCCAGTAATCAGCTGCACTGTTCATCAGGTTTTTTTGGTCACATAACACAGGGTACAGTTTTGAGCAAAGAATTTTCGCATTTTAAAATTCCAAAATATTTGCTTCATAAGTAATTTTTAGAAATGATACAACGAGAAATGTTCGCCCCTTATCTGTGAATTTTATGGCTGAAGAAGTAGAAAAAGAAAGTTATTACGAATACCTCATAAAGAAGACATCTCAGTGAAACAATCGGTTATAAAAGTCCTGCAGGGTATAAAGCAACCAATAAAGAGTTACTTCTTTAATATAACAAAGCAGAATTGACTGTCCGGCCGAAAGAATAAGAAATATTATAGGGCATTAAACGCCCAGTAAAACGAAAGAAATACACATAATCTCTTATTGAAAAAGAGAGAGGTCAAAAAGCAACAGTCAAAAAAGCTAACATATGAAAAGCATTAACAGTCCTTTTTTAAAAACACACATTCGTGCAGTTCACAATAAAGCAACCGGTATGTATATTGATGAAAAAATGAGATCAAAAAACAACGTGACTATTTCAGGTAACAATAAAAATAATTTAAACTCAAGTCTCACCGTATAAAATATTCATAAACTTAATTTGGTGTACTAAATTGAAAACCTAGGACCACAACATAAAATTAAGAATTACTGCTTAAACTATTAATTAATTTTGTCCTTGGATACTTCTCCACTAAATCTAACCAATGTACAGCAATTAAGTCAGCTATTCTCAAGTGATATAGTATCATACCGGATAAGGATAGTTTTTTCACTCGACAGATACTTTCAAAATAAATTATTCTAATATTTTTTACCCGTAAAAAATCAAATAAAGCAGCAGCTATGCATACTGGAATGCACGTACCTGGCCCATTGCAGAGGAGAAGGTCAAAGCTAAAAAAAATTAACATTTAGAAGCCACAAAAAAAATACACTTCTAAATTTTATGGAAAAGTTTTGAACAAAGCAAAGATAAATAGCTGTTACAAATTAGCAGACAAATAAAACTTCTTTATTTCATTCCTACGTAAAAAAGCTAAGATTTTAATCAAAAAACTGTTAAGAGAAAAAAATTCATGTTCAAAGCGAAATGCTTCAAGAACCTACTCATTGAAGGCAACAAACCAAAGCGATTCTGCGAAAGCCTTTAGAGTTGTGAAGATTGATGTAAAGTAACTCTGTAACACTTCACGACTCCTGCTCAAAAAACATAATTTGTAGTTGCCATCTTTAGTTTCCTCCAACGACTTTACCTGCAAAATCAAAAATATCAGATTAACAGGAATGAAGTACGACGTCAGCATTGCCGAAAAAGAGAACCTGTACCACGAAAGGCTTTAGAATGTTTTGGAGTACGAGTTAGCAACTCAATAAACCAAAAGATATCAATTCTTAAAAACAGAAACTAACTTTTTCTATACTCATAGAATCCGATTTGGCGATAACATAATAACGAGGAGTATAGTTTTCATCTAACTTCTCCAGTAAAGCGATCATTTCAGCTGTATGACCACCTATTTTAAAATCGAGAAACAGTCATATAAATTAGGAAATTTCAATAGCAGTATAATTTTGATTAAAGGCGTCACTGATCACCAAACATAACTGTTACCTGAACCAAGAACTGCACAAAGTTTGACATGTTTGCGTTTAATGGTTGATACAGTGGTGTGTCTGGTATGGTAGCTCCAAACAAGAGCAAAAAATAGTAAAACCAATATTCCAACCAACAAAACAAACATTCTGAACAAAAATATTATTAATTCAGTATTTTAAATACGCGGTTAAAAACAGCAACTCCCGTTACAGCAAAAACACATTTGTACAGAACCCTTAAATCCAATGCATTTGGCAAAATTAATGGTCCTAGTGAGGTGTGACAAACACTTGGCAACAGCACTTCTACTCGCCACCTTTGCTGTAACGCTAACTCACAAATATAGAAGAGTGGCCTGAAGTTACTACCGTTAAGCCACTTTGTTCACCACATCGCTTCCTATTCAAAATTCAATACAGAAAATAAAATGGAACAACAACTAGCAGGCAGACACAAATGCCACTCTTCTGAAACTACGATGTTAGATCAGTTATGCTTCAAACTACACCGGCCGGAAAAGAAGTTGCAAAAAACACTGGCAGTCTTCCAACTATAGCCTAATTTATTTACGTATCAGCTATTGCAGCATAAAATTTTTTTTTCTCTGTGATTTGGAACTAATTTGATACATTGTCACTTTGTTGTCTACTTCATCTCATTGTCAGTAATTTTAATTTGAAAACAACTTGGTTCCGGTTTTTTTACTCATCAGAATCAAGTGTAACCGCCGCAAAAAAACCGCCTGTTTTTCTCCAGATTTTTTCGTACAATGTACAACTAGGGGTTGGTTCTGAAGCAAAAAAGAAATTTTTCAAAATATTTCAGCACCGCAAAAGCACTTTTGACGTTCGCAGGAGAGTATTTGAACGCTTATAACAACATATCTCTGACATCAACCAGTGCTGTTTTTTGTAGTTTCAGGGTTTGGATCAATCAATTTCCTTCTAGTTTAAGGCATAGCAATACCCAAAATTGTTGATGAGGTAGATTTTTTGACAATTATTTTCCATCCAGTTTTGAACAACTTTGCCATTGTTGCCTCAAAGCGTTCCGGTATCAGTCTTGAAATTTGATGGCACTAAAGGTCCTTCGTAATACTTGTATTCGGAAGAGAAATATACTTTCTTTTTTTTGATGTGTGAACCTATACGCAGATAAATTTAATAGTTTTGCTGGTAGATATGCGAATATTACTACCGATTCTCCCGCAAGTATATACATTTGGCGTTTATAATATGTAAAGTTGCGTTTTATCAGGGAAACTGATTTTTAAGATTAGATTAAAACCAAGACATCTGAAAAACCTACAAACATTTTATGAAAGAAAGGTTCTGGAATTAGTGTATTTGTCAGCGTATGCGGAAACTTAAAGTAGTGAAAATTTGGTGTGAAGAGGCTTACCAATCTTTTCTCCCCGCATTTACAAAAAAAATTCACTTGAATTTGATGACCCAATGTCAATTCTTTAGATTTTTCAAAATACACATAGTTATTCTGCAGTTTTGCATGCTTATACAAGCAAAACTGAAAAAGTTGTTTCAACAAAGAAATTCTTTATTGTACATTTCTTGACAAAAAAAATTAAAGCAAACACAAATGTTTGTTAGTTTTTGGTTGGGTCTCTGAAAAACTAAAGCAGAATTTAATATAAAAGGAGAAATGTTGGAGAAATACGAATCCAGTAAGCTGTAATCTGCACATTTAATTTTAAAGATAATACATAATTCTTTCACCACTTTAATTTTTTTTTTTGCATTTTAATGATTAAATCAGAAGGATTCTTAAAGCTAAAGGTCTTTTTCTCTCAGAGATCCCACTATTTTTCCTTTTTGCTTAACAGCCCCTCATTTTGATGTTACTATCTCCATTTAATTCAACTGGACGCAATATTTCATTTGGCAATTATCTAAATTGGAGATTAGTCTTAATTAGATGAACGTATAAGACGCTGTTTTTTTTTTTTTTTTTCATTTGTCATTCAGCTACAACTACAGGAATCGAAAACGGTTTAGCAAAGTCTTACAGTCAGCAGTTAAATGAACAATTGCAATTGTCCAAATTGAACTGCAGCAGAATTGTAGTTTTTTATGCAAGTGAGTGTATGTGCGTATATATTTGTACTTTTAAGATACGCAGCACCTTTTATTGTAGCATTGTAGAAATAAGAAACAGAAAAAAAAGGAATCTGAATCAATGCGCAGTTGGTGGATCGAAATTGTGAAGTGAAAAGATGCGGGAGATAAGAATTGTTCAACATTCAGTAGAGAAACAACCAAAATGAAATTATTTTGGAAGCCGAAGAAATATGTAAGATATATGATCACTTTATCGACAATTTATCAACACGGTATAAGGCTGTTGGCAATTATTTTATTGAAACATTTAATCTTTTCGAAGAATGGGGATTGTTCTGGTCTTTTGCTCCGGTACCTTTTTCGGTGACTGTACTGTTAACATTCCTTCTTTGGTTAGTTCACTGGTTATGGTCTCTGGTTTAACACTTTTTGGCAACTGTAAACGTCGTACAAATTGTCTTTCAATCTGAAAAAAAATTAAACAGTTCAATATTGCTATATGATGACACTGTGAAATGGTCAAGACGACACTCGGTAAAATGGAATTTACTATGGGTCAATAGGAATTACAACAGTGGTACGACAGCTAATTATAAAGTTTTTTTCTTATTTTTCTAGTATTGGTTTTCCGTCCACACAAATGCAGTTTAGACTTCCAAAACAATGCTTTGTTTCTTTTAAATCAACCTAATGAACGAAGTTCTTGTCAATTTAATTTGCTAAACAGCTAGCTAGCTCAAGGAAACGTAAAATGAAACTGAATGTTACCTGCCCATATTGATCATTTTTGGCTTCATGTTTGCCGGCGATAATCAGTTGACCGTTGTCGATATTAACATTTAGTTCCTCGGGTGCAAACTGTGATACATCGATAGTGATTGAAAATGTTTCATCGTCGTCCAAAATCTGCATTTTTTTCTAAGTACAGTTTGGTCAACATATTTTGTTAGGTGCGGTGGTTGAATGTGTTCAATAGGTTACTGTTTTAAAAATAAAGTTTGGTGAAAAACAGAAGTGAATATTTCAATTAAAGTTAAATTTAAAAACGATTAAAAGATTAAAATAAGAAAAAAAAGACAACAACAATCAGTATTAAACGAAAAATTTTTTTAAAAGTTAAAATGCAAAAAAAAATTGATGATATAATTTCAAATTATTGACAACAATAATCTTGTTCTTTCCTTTTTTGTTGTTGTTTTTAATCTTTTATTTATTTATTTATTTTGTTATTATACACCCAAATTTATTTATTAGATTTTTAAATAGAGCTGTTTTGAGTGGTTCAATAAACAAGTAAGCCAAAAAAAAAAAAAAAAACTAGAGGTGTGGGATGAAGAAAGAAAAAAATTGATGATACGATCACAGAAGAAACATTCCATTTTTAAACTTTTTTTAAAAAATATTTTCGGAACATTTACCACTTTGTTTTTTTGGTCGGTCAATGAATGAAATGTTAGCGATAACTGAGAATAAAAGAATTTTTAGTGGTATTATAATTGTTTTGATGAAAAAAATTTTTTTGTTACATCGGAGGTGGTGGAGGTGTGTTTGTTTTTATGGGTTTTGATTTGAAAAAATTGTTAAAATAGGGAAAAAAAGAAGGAACAAACGATCAAAATATCGAAAAGGTATTGCTAGGTGAATCTGTAAACAGCAAAAGTTATTTGTGGATTCAGTACTGTTATTGGTGCAGTCATTAGTGAATTGCTTTTGTGATAACTGCAGTGATCATCAATAAACAGTTAATTGTTAGCTAAATTATACGTCTGTGTGCCTCGGTGTTCGTATAACACAGGCTCCATATTTTCCATATTTTTTTGCTGCTAGGCTGCTGTTTGACAAAAATCATGTCAAGTATTTAAGCTTATCAAACTTACTAGCGCTAGAAAAAAAGGTTTCCAAAATGTACAAATACGTACAAAAGAAAGTTATTGTAGAAAAGCAAAACTTCTTCCTTTGACATCTCATTCTGTCTTTCATCATAAAATAAAGCCTAATTTTTTTATTTTAGTAAACCAAACTTTTTGGTTTCAAAGGTGCCATTTTTTTTTTTTTTTTTTTTTTTGCCGCTACTGCTGCTATCGTTACTGTTTGCTGCAAATAAGAGCAGTGGTCGGCAAATGTTACACCATTTTGGTCGATAAAGAATTTTTCTTTGTTCTTAACATTTATCAATAACAACCTTTAACGACTTTTGAAATGTGATCAAAAAAGCAAACAGAAAAGGTTTTTAAATTATTTATATTGCCTGTAAAATTTTGTTCTTTTTCCTACCCTTTTTTTTCCCCCTCTTTATGTCTTTCCTGTTACTGGTCCTTATAATACTGAACAATTTGCTTCCCTTTTCCTCTTCTCGTCTCTTTTTTTAGTGCTTTTTTTTTGCAAAATAAAAATGAGAAAAAAATATAAAATTTAAACAAGAAGAGCTATGATATGTTTTAGTTGCTGTTTTTTCAAATAAAGAGTAGGGTAAAGGAAGAAAAGAAGGCGAAACATCGATGAAGCACTGACTGGTGGAGAAGGTGGGGGAGGAGGAGGAAGTTAAAAAATGAAGATGAAACTTTTAAAAACTATTGAATAGATAATTTAGGGGTCTCTTTGTAGTAAGAAGCTTTTTTTTTTTGAAAAACCTTTCCATTTTTTTATTTACTAATTATGCAATACCATTTTTTTTTTTTAATATTTCCCTTACCTTTCTGTTATTTATTTTTAGTTTCTCTATCGTTACAGTAGCAGCAATTCTCAAAATTTACCACAAACTTATTGTATTAGCCCACCAAACTAGGTTAACTAATGTTTTTTCTTTTGTTGTTAGTCGTTATTTGTTTCTGTCATTATTTAAGTACTTCATAATTTGATTATGTTCAACAGACAAAAATATAAAACGAGGAACAAAGAAAACAAAACAAATTTTACCTCTCCAACTCCATCGCCAAATTTTTGAGCTGTTACCAATGGCTGTTCTGCCCAATATGGACGAAAATGACGCTCAAAATCCATATCATCAAAGAATCGATTTGAAAAGCCAAAATGTGGCGAAAATGGTGTCAGTAACGGTCGTCGAGACATCTTCCAGCTGATAGATGTTGAAACGATGATCAAACAGAAAATTTATCGTATAACTTCACTGTTCCTTCTTTTTCTCTCTCTCTTTTGTTTTTTTTCAGTTGGTTGGCAATTAGTTTCACTTCAATCAAACTTTTGTAACAAGTTTACCTAAAAAAAAAGGAGAACAATTTAGGAAATAACATTAAATAAAGTAAAATAAACTTATACTTTATTATTTATTTGCTTTTTTTTCCTATTCTGTAAAAAAAAAAAACAGTCTGACCACCTAAAAAAAAAGGAAAGGACAAATGCAACGAAGAAATAAAATAACTGCTGCTCTGGTCCATACCCTCAACGATTTTGGTAGAGTGCTAATAATAATAATAATAATAATAATAATAATAATAATAAAGACAATAATAATAAATTAATTTTGAGATTTTTCGGAATCAGTAATAATAATAATAATAATAATAATAATAATAATAATAAGAAGAACCAAAAAAGTTTATATGTGATATTTATAAAAAAAAAAAATTTAAAATCAATAAATAATAATCACCAAATAAAAAAAGGCAAAAAAAAAACAGACTTTTTTTTTCAAACTAAACATTCGACATTTTTTTGTCGTTTGTTTGTTTTAATGCAATTTTTTCCAGTTAAGGATTAACCAGGAAAAAACTCTTTTTTTTAGATTGTAAAGATGTATTTAAAAAGAGAAAAAACAAAAAAATTAACTTATTTTTGCCCTTCGTTAGAGCAGTTTTTTTTTTTTTTTTTT